CAGACAATCTATTTTGCTTCAAGTTCTGACGCATAAATATTTTTTGTCAGGATTTTATACGACAATTTATATTTTCCGATAAAATCTGTTCATAAATCAGTAGAGCATCACGCAAGAAGTGGTATATTATTGACATCAATCGATGTCTGTTTCAAGTTTAATGCATTTTGCAACAGAATATCTTTGGTTTTGATCAAGTGTGTTACTTTGGTTCGAAACAAAATACTCCACATGTCAACAGCAAGTACTAAATACTTAATACTCACACAGAGTGGCGTGTTTACCAACTGACATTCAAATCCCAACCTCTTTCAGCCTCTAATTAGTCCTCTGTTTATGTAATGTGTTCATTTGTAGAAAACAGACGAGTAACATTGACGTCAACTGCATCGATTACTGCGGGTCACTATGGAAAATTTGTTGTGAATGTTAGCTGTCGGCTATATGTCAGCTAGTCTCTCAGTCAGTAAGATGGCAGCCTTTATCTAGGTCAGCATTGTGACAACTAGTCACTTAGTCAGTAAGATGGCAGCCTTTATCTTGGTCAGCATTATGACAGCTAGTCTCTTAGTCAGTAAGATGGCAGCCTTTATCTATGTCAGCATTTTATCTAGTCAGTAAGATGGCAGCCTTTATCTAGGTCAGCATTAGACAGCTAGTCTCTTAGTCAGTAAGATGGCAGCCTTTATCTAGGTCAGCATTATGACAGCTAGTCTCTTAGTCAGTAAGATGGCAGCCTTTATCTTGGTCAGCATTGTGTCAGCTAGTCTCTTAGTCAGTAAGATGGCAGCTAGTCTCTAGTCTCTTAGTCAGTGATGGCAGCCTTTATCTGGTCAGCATTATGACAGCTAGTCTCTTAGCCAGTTATGGCAGCCTTTATCTAGGTCTAGTCTCTTAGTCAGCATTGTGACAGCTAGTCTCTTAGTCAGTAAGATGGCAGCCTTTATCTAGGTCAGCATTGTGACAGCTAGTCTCTTAGTCAGTAAGATGGCAGCCTTTATCTAGTCTGTAAGATGGCAGCCTCTATCTAGGTTAGTGTTATGACAGCTAGTCTCTTAGTCAGTAAACAGCCTTTATCTAGGGTTAGCGTTATAAGCTAGTCTCTTAGTCAGTAAGATGGCAGCCTTTATCTAGGTCAGCGTTATAACAGCTAGTCTCTTAGTCTGTAAGATGGCAGCCTTTATGTAGGTTAGCGTTATAGCAGCTAGTCTCTTAGTCAGTAAGATGGCAGCCTTTATCTAGGTTAGCGTTATAACAGCTAGTCTCTTAGTCAGCTAGTTGGCAGCCTTTATGTACGTCAGCATTATGAGAGCTTTGTTCTTAGTCAGCATGATGGCAGCCTTTATCTAGGTCAACGTTATAACAGCTAGCCTCTTAGTCAGCAAGATGGCAGCTTTCATCAAGGTTAGCTTTACGACAGCTAGTCTCTTAGTCAGCAAAATGGCAGCCTTTATCTAGGTCAGCGTTATGACAACCTGGATGTCTGACCTCAAAAAGATCATTATTGCAATTATCTTTCTATAGAAACAAGCACGTTAGACTTTCATAGTTGTCACTAAAGCAATAGCTAATATATAATTATCCGAAACCCAAGAATAGAAGTTATATAAACTCTGAAATGTTGACGGCTTTGTAGTGCAAATACAATGATATGAAAATTTAATGCTATCATATATATGTGTCTGAGTCGTGGAAATATACAGTGCTTGCCTTCCTGTATACCGCCCACTGTAATGCTCTTTTGAAGCATTAATTCATATATAATAATTCAAACCACTAAAAAGCCACTACTGCCATATATGTCTACACGGTTTGTTCTAGTGAATGTTGTTGATAAATACCGAAAACGTAGGGTATAGTGGAATCATCAAGACATGTATTAGTATGCTTTTGGCAAATTGAAGTAATATGACTATATCTGCTCGGGAAGTAGGCGGGCAGATTAGCAGTTTGTCATAATGCTGGTGGAACTGGAACTGACTGGCGACAGGAAATATATTATTTGTACAGCGGTGCATATCCTGATATGCGGTACAAATATGCAATTATTAATAATAATAATTATTATTAAGTGTGCGCAGGTCTCCTTTGGTGATTGCGGAGCGGTTGGGTAGGCTAGATGTTAAAGCACTCGCTCGTCACCCGAGTTCGATTCTCCACATGGTTACAATGTGTAAAGTGCATTTCTGGGGTTCCTCGCCATGATATTGCTGGAATATTGCATAAAACTAAATTCACTCTCTCTTTGGTGACCCGTGAAGATCCGGGTTAGAATTGATCTTCAGTAACCCATGCTTGTTGTAAGAGGTGACTAACGGGATCGGGTGCTCGCTGACTGGGTTGACATATGTCATCGTATCCCATTTGCGTAGGTCGATGCTCATGCTGTTGATCACTGGATTGTCTGGTCCAGATTCGATTATTTACAGACCGACGCCATATAGAAGGAATATTACTGAGTGCGGCGCAAAACTAGCTTTCTTCCGTGACTGCCCATAGTGTGTCACTTCTTGACCGTCTAGGGTGTGCCTGAACGGTTGCCTGGCGAAGGCAGCTCTAGTAGCGCTGTTATAATACAATCTCTTGTATTATATAAAGGCTGGTTGTTGTGTAGTGCGACACGGGACTTTTCACATGACTGTATTTATGCGCATCTGTCTGCCACCGTCAAGTTGATCAACATTCAAGACTGACCGTGCTTGCCTATTCGTCTACTGTCATTGTAAACAACCTTCAATCAGTATAACTGTTCTCACTGTAAATGTCAAGACTCTGGTGAGTTAATACTTTGTATTTGTGACCCAATATTTTAGATTTGTGACTCAATTGCATTGTACTAAAAATCTCTATTGCCAATCATTGTAGTTTGCTCATTGTTTATTCAATATATATTATTGAGTTTTTTAGACTTGTCTGTGTTCTATTTTGCTGCTTCTAAGGGGACTCTTAAACCTTTTGTCACGGCAAATTATTAACCTTAACACTGTGTATTTATCGATATCAGTTTAGTTGTGTAGCTCGCTATGACAATGTCTGTACATACCACCCTTTCTATGATAAATAACCACATTGTGGAACCCATGATTGTGTATCAACTTTTGTGTGTATAATACGATGACATATTTCTGGGAACCATGTCTTATGAGAGCCGTGTCAATTTACACTTGTCACTGGGGTACATAAATTAAGTGATTTAGACGACCAGTTGTCATATTTCTATTTTTGTGGTATCGTGGTGGCTGAGTGGGTTAGATTGCTGACTTTGTGAGCTCATTCGAATCCCGAATGGTACAAAAAACAAGTACAAGAATCCGTACTAGGAAAGTACAATCACAAAGAGAACGCTTTCTAAAAGGCTTAGTGTATTCATAACCATGTCTTTCTGTAGATAGATACCCAGTACGTATTCTGTATAAATTAAGATATCTGAGCCATAAACTTAATGTACATCAATATCGATATAATAATATAATAAAAATATAAATACTGAATTACTAAAGTGTACCAAATGTAACTATAATGTCATCAAAGATGACTTGCAGTTTTATTGGTTTGTCCGTACTATGATTAAAGCAGAAAACTGTTGTTACCAAGTTATTTTAATACCTATCCCACACATGAAAAGTTTAATTTGTTTATGTCTTCGCAAAATTTAGAATGCTTAAAAAGTCTTGCAGTTGTTTTAAAACGAAATCTATCAATTTAAATTATTTTATATTTAAAAATCACTTCGATGTCCATTGCACTGAAATTATGTATACACACTATCGTACTTTTGGCCACGAGGCCATGAATACGATTACACTTCTTCTTCCTTCTTTCTGCATATTACAATGTCATTGTGTTTGTTTCAATTCATCTGAATATAATGTCACACGTGCGTACACAACAGCATTGTTCATATATGCGTAATCCATCTCGGTGTGTACAAAGTAATGGGACAACTGTATAATTTCCAATCTTGTATTCTATATATTGATTTCCTGTATCATTATGTAGTTCACACATACCAGTTGGTATCTTTATATATATGCAATAAGGCAAGAAAAGTAGATTGCAACAATCTTTGTTCATTGCATTTGATAACCATAAATGTTCTGCTTCTGTCATTTGATAAATATATTTGTTTTCATTAATATTGTAATAGAGACGACAAAACCATATCCACATCCATAAGATTGTCACCATGCCATACGATGACAGAGCATGTGTTTATGAATCACTATGAAATAGTGATGATACCAGCTTTTTGAGAAATATTTAGCGTATCCTGCCCGATCGGTAGCACCCGTCATAAATATATGCTAAGTCTAGTCGCTTTTTCACCTGAAATACTTCGGGAACGTTTGGTATAAGTCAAAGTAGGGAATTGCATCGGACATTATTTTAGTCACTGATGCATCAAATGTGGAATTTCATCCACATGTCTACCATAAAACTTTCCTGAGGCCTTGAATTTGGTAACCTTGGTCAAACAACTTCTGAGCAAGAGTGGTACAACGCTCTTTAAAATCTTGATAACAAGAGCAAGCTCGATTGTACATCAAAAGTTCTGAAATGTAAACACCAAAGGCTGGAGCTGTTGGAATATTGCGCGCCATGAAAGTTGACTATTAGAAAGTTGAACGAAATCTTATCTTAAAATATTGAACTGACCTCAAGGAGGTGTAGACAGGTCAGCTGGATATAATTATGATTCTACCTATGATATGTACTGAGAGAAACAAATAAGGGAACACCACTTCATGGCAGTGTTCCTTTATTTATTCTCAGATTTCCCCCCACAGCGCAATTCAAAGCTGGTGATGAAAACTGGAAAATATCAGAAGAACGCTTGAATTTTCCTGTGTTCCTTTATTTGTTCTCTCAGTATATGATTGATCAGATGATTGATCAGATGATTGATCAGATTACTTGCACATGCATGTTTGTGAATGTGTACATGTCGGTGTGTACTTTCATACTCAAATAACAGAAAAGATCCATGCACATAATCCAAATGAAGATGGATAGTTTCTTTATTGAATATATATATTTATACAGATATGTTCTTAGCAGGGCATGAATGTGCTACCTTTGAAGCATGTCTCTCTGATACTATTTCAAATAGGTGGGTGCATAGATAGTCAGAGCCTACGAAGATACAGCCTATCTCAAACAATGCTCGACATTATCAAAATGTGTTTGGTAAACTGTCTTGCATATGAGCTTAAAAGAATCTCAGAAAGGCACATGGCTGAATTTCCCTTAAGGGCAACTGCATGGCAATATCAGATCGGCTGGCACCAAGCACCATAAATAATCCGGATTGTTTTCCTAAATCAATGTTCTTCTTTCATTTATTCTTGAACAGAAACACTGTTAACACAAACTTGAAAAGAACTTGAAGTCTCCGAATTAGGTTTTCCGCCAAACGATGGCATTGCATGTTGTCTTCCTATGCAAGTAATATATATATAATATTCAGGTATTTCTTGGTTCCCGCAGATCAAATATTTTCCATACTGATGTCTTTCAAAGCATAAACAAGACAAAAAGCAAGATAACTGACTTCTTGCTTGAACAAAACCAATAATTGCCATGCATTAAAATGTAGCGATAATAGCAAATCTTCTTGTTTACTATTTCGATCATGCCAACCTCATCAAAACTAAACATCCGACAATCAGGAGAAAGTAAACGAGAAAATACGTCCTAGATCACGCTCATATATACGAACATAATGTCATTCTAGGAACGTATTTTTAGACAATTTTTCTTGTTGAGTGAATGTATTTCTCAGAAGGAATGTGTCAGTATTTCGAAAGATATCCAAAACCGTTTTGATATTCCTTATCGTGCTGTGCAATTGCCTACCCCTATATAACAGAAATAGAAGTGTAATGGCTCTCCTTTCTGTCATGACGACATTTTATTGTGTTATAATTGGTTTCAGCCATTATCAGCATGTTGCTGTCTTAGAAAATAATTAAAACATTGAGCTTGAGATTAGTGTTATTATCGTGTGAAGAAGCCCTCATGGTTTACTTCAAGAAACATATGTAGATTGGTTGAATGTCCTTACATTTGAACGTGGCTCAAAGGTTATTTGATTTATCTCAGCCAACACTACATTCTGCTTCAGAAATTTCCAAGACTCTATTCTACAACAAAAACAATTTCTGAAATACAAATACTACCCTGCACAGTTTTCAGATATTTTTGAAAGCTCAGAGATATTTTCCTTTCGTTTATGGTTTAAAACATACATGTACAGTATTTTACTCTCTTAAACGATTTATACCAAATGAAACAAATGGAACAAATATTTATTTAAAGATCACTCAAAACTTATCACATGAGTAGTTTGGCTGATGCTGCATCAGCAGCTTTGGAAACAGTTTCTAAATATTATGACAGTGAGTCAAAATGCAGACAATTTGTTTGCTTAAAATACAAATGCATCACTTGCTACTTAACATTTCAAGAGATAAAAACATGTATATCACAATTTGTTGGACGGATTAACAATAACCTTTCTACTACACGATCATTTACACAACATCACAGATTGCATTAACAATGTGTAAGTATGTAACACATATACAAATTATGCATATAGGTGATACTAGTGTTATTTTCAATAAACCGCAGTTATTAGGTCAATCGATAATTAATGATAATTAATATTTGCTGAAAACTGTTCATTGAACAAAAGAATTAGCTAATGCAATATTTATAAAGTCTGTGCAGAGGAACATTTTGCGAAGAACCATTGTATATATAAGCAGTGTTGTCATATCTCATTAAAGCTGACGTTACCTTCCAAAAGGATGCTCATACCCTTTGATTTATTTTCAGTTAAAAATATTTCGAATTGAAAACTGTAAAATCAGTGAGCATTGAAAGAATAAAATAAGTCAACAAGTGTTCAAACAATAAGTTGTCTACGTCCGCCATTAATCAGCAGTTACGTCCAGTAGTGTGTGCAGCAGTTGAGAAAAGAGGATATTCCAAAACAATCTCTTAAAATAACAAACACAAAAAAGATAACTAGTAAATGTTAAAAATCAGCAGTAAACGATTGTACGTAGATCAGCTAGGACATTCAAATGAACAAAACAATAACAATATTCTACCTATCTTACAAAGCATATATACTGTTCCTATATTTGGAAATGGGGGATAGGTCAATTTGAATTTGAATGGGTTTTTTTTAATCTTAAATATATATCTATAATAATCATTACTTTATCTCTGTCATGTCCAGTGACTTCGATTATACCTTTTCTCTGAAAAATGAGTTGTTACTTAAAATCCAAAGAAGCCTATTTCGAATCGTATTGTACTTAAACACTCTCCTTCGACAACTATACCTGTCTCACATTGCGAGTGAGTTATTTACAATCAACAACATCATACATGACGACAACATATATTTACAACGTCTAACTACGTGCGAGTTCAAACGTGTGAAAATATAGAATTTTGTGAAAGACGTCATTCGTGAAACATCCATCGGACAGCTACCCAGTATCATGTCGTATGGCATCATTGTAAGTAGGACGTGCCTTGGCTAGACGCCATGTTGGTTTTCCCAGCATTCCTTTAAATACGTCACGTCCGCTAGCCATAAGCCTATTGGGTTTTGGATATAGTGGGCCTGAATACTGTGAGTCTTTGAGGCAGCAACGAAAGATGTTGTTTATACAACAAAGCCATGCTTGCATTTATACAAAGCATCATAATAATTGATAACAAGCATTTGCGCCAAATTAGTTTGATTGATGTTCTTGTTTGTCTAATTCGACCTTTATCCACGATTGCTCCAGTGTTCTTTCTTTCGCGGGTTGTACAGTGTAGTGCATTAGGTTTGCTTAATGGGATACATATTGACATAAATCCAGCAACAGAAAGGATTATTCGTTGAACGGTTGCAGATTTTAAGTTTACAAAGAAAACCCCTTTGAGAGCAAAAACAATTTCGAATTGTTAATTCACAAACTTATCAAACTGTTATATCTGGGCAAAGCCAAATATCACAAATCATGCCCAAATATGATTTGCTTAGTCAATCATTATCTTTTGGTCCTGATGTATCCCGTTCTGGTTGTTGTCCACTTGAGGCTGCTCGAAGCCGGTGTATTTCTCAACCTCTCGCATCTTATCTTTGTCCTTGTCATCATCTTTGCCGAAGGTCGTGTCATCCTTGATTCCAGTAGCATCCCAGACCTTCAGGCTGCCGTCATAAGATGCAGTGAACAGACGCCCGTCAACAACCTGAAATCGACCATCACCAGAGGTCAGGATAAAGGTGATTGTATTGACTACAAATGACTATAGTTAAAATGTTAAATGTTAAAATTGACCCGAAATTTGAAATTTAGGGAAGAAATACCATTTAATAGCATTATGAACAAAAAAGGACGTGTGTTTGAGTTAAACTGAAATGTCACATGGAGTGATTATCCCTGCCATAAATTAGACTGGACTAACAGTACATGACACATGTGTTACACTGTTTTGCTTAAAAGTTGTTACAATTTTTTTTCTTTATTCGGAAAGCTTTAAAAATGCAGTTCCGTTTTCTAAAATTATAAATGAATTTGTCATGTTGTATGCAATATATCAGATGTGCTTCTGAGAAACGAAAAACATACGACAGTTGAAGGTTCTGTGCTCAAAGTGTTAACGTGCTCAATGAAACAATTTTGAAAAAGGTTGATAATAGGCAAGCACCTTTCTGAGAATTGCTACGTAGAATATATAGAGAACAATTTCCTTGTCGTCTGATTTCATGATATCAGTTTACTCTTGATATAACTTAATCATACACGTGGTACGCATTACAACGCAAATAGAATCCATTAAGCAACGATATTTTCAGTGTAAAATGTAACGTTATTTATGGAAATCAAAATATAATAAGTGAAACGATGTCAAATATGGATGTCGCATGCTGGCATTTAGTATTCCAAAATCGAAGTGTGACATAATTTTAATAAATGAAGAGGTGAGCATATATTTTAGCTTTTTAATTAACTTCGCATTTGCTTTGACTGAAACATGCAATTACGTTACGACAATTGGTTAGTGATTGCTGAAACGTGGTCACGTGCTCTGAGGGGAGATAACCATTGGCTCTCAAGTGATGACATGCTGCATCCATGGCTAACCTCAACACCAGTGACAGCAAATTCATGGCCACTATAAAACCGCTTCAATGTGGCAGATTTCTGATCAAAACACCCAGCTAGACAATCTCCGGCGCCGGTAAACACTTCGAGGGAACAGAAGAAGAAAAAGCCACAGATAGAGAGAATGAACAGCAATGAAGCACAACATTGATCAAACAAAGGCGTGTGTACAGCCTCCATATATAAATATATAAGATGCATTACTCAGAGTGTACACTATCATCCATCTTTGACTAGTTCGTGAAAGTATGTCTACTAGATCATGATGCAGTAGAATAGAGCATATATTTCACTTTTGAAATATGTTGCAGTGAAACCCATTTGTTTGGATGCAGAGAGCAATACTATACCAATTCATTCAGGCTTGTTACTTTTTTCCGTTACAGATTACATTTAAGTTGGGTTTTTTAAATGAACATGTCTTGTTGGCCGTGACGTCCTGCTGCAGCATCACAGTAAGGCATCTTGTAATAAGCACAGTCACAAGCCGACCACACACCATCAGAACCACCTTCACAGCGAGATAGACTAAGTGACTGCCAAAACAAACCCATTCCGAACACTACCGAACCGAAAAATATCTGCAAAATTCAGTTAAATAACAATCATTCGATTTTCAAATACACCGTTCATAATTTTTTTTAATTGTTTATTGATATATGTGATGTTTACTATGGTATGCAAACATGGACTTCACACATTGGTAGCTCAGTGAGATTAGGGCATATAACTCTCCCAGGCACTAGAAAATTAGAAATATAAATCAACCCTACAATGGTTTGGCAAGTGTAGATTTCCTCAGCTCTGGGATGAAATTAAATACTGGAATTTAAGCATAGGGTTTAACTTTTGTATATTTTTAGGTATACACTTTATAAACTCTGTTTCTGGGACTAAATGTTAATCTAACGTATATGTACACAGTGTTTATCTAACGGTATATGTACACAGTGTTTAATTGTGCAAAATGTTGGTCTACAAACTGGAACTGAAAAGAAGGAAATATAGGTCTTGTTTTGGCAGTCACAACAATAGCACAGCACACAACTATTTGTTAGTAGACAAAGAGGGTCTAGAGATAAAGGTCTTCTACAAGCCACACAGTTATATCATGGCTACAGCAATAACCTGCAGAGCTGTGACGGTACTCTCATGAGCGACAAATTCCCGTTTTAGGGCGCCACTCTTGGCGTCATAGCATCGACACACAGAGTCGCCACAAGCTGTGTAAACTGGAAAATAATTATCAGATTAAAACAAGAACACTCTTCCCATGAATAACAATCTTCTCAAGGATAAAATCCCTAAAACAATTGCGGAGTGAGCAAAAAATTCAAGTACGGTTATAACGAACTCAAAAGGAACATAAATTTTAGTTTCATGTACGCATTGTTTCCTAAAATATACAGCGAGTGGTTGGGATAAAACAACAATCTGTTAAATCTGTCAGTTCGTAATAAGCGTATTCACTATCAACGTAGTTTATAAACGTGCATATCATACTCATAACGTTCAATTTGCTTTTTTAAAAAGTGAACCATTTGTATCATTTTGCACCTAAGTACCATTAGGGTGAGACCAAAGTAGACATCTCTCCCACTGGATACATGCTGCAGGGTACGTATGACTTGTTTGATACATGATTTAAACCATTATTACCATAAATCGTATCCTATGCAGCAGTATATTAAATAAATACATACCCATGCCGTCGAACACTCTGATGACACTGACGGTGTGCTTGTGTCCTCTGTATACTCGGGTGCAGTCACCAAATTCAGTCACCCAGGACCGTCCAGTGTGGTCAGAGCTACCGGTGTACATGATCTTGTTGACCACCTGGGCAAGAACACAATATGATGATAAAGATGAAGATAAATATACGTCAATATACGTATTTATGGAGTTGAACATTAGCCCTTATCAACAAAACAATCATGTGTATAAATGTAATTTCTCTTGATAGAAAGAGTTGTGTGTGTGTGTGTGTGTGTGTGTGTGTGTGCGCGCGCATATGTGTGCGTGTTTGACAACACACACACACGTATTTGTGACAATTAAAACACTTTTCGAAATATTTACGTTGTGTTTTGGAAATTTGTCCTGAAACACAAGACGTGTACTTTCTGTTGTACGTCAGTTCATGATGAAACAGCCAATAACATATAGGTCAAATAGAAACCCAAATCGGGAGGTGATCTGTTTTTACCTGCATCAATTAAGCAAGTGATCTACCCAGAAACATTGATTATGTTTAAGACCTTGTCTGTATGGCGTTTTGCCCGAACAATTGCGTTCGCATAACATATATCCTCAGGCCTTTATACCCTCAGATGTTCACGTCAACTTAACTGAGCAAATTGACATACGTGAATATAACGGTGCATGCGTTCGAGCTACACGTTAAGCGTTAACATTTTTTAGGAAAAAGCATCTTCAGAAAAACAGCCATCTCAGCGAAACATGATTGGACACGAACGTAAGTTCAGAACGTAGGTTGCGAGCGAGCTTGCTGTGTTGACATTGTCCCCGTAACACGCTCGATGCTGGGAATGTATGTAAACTAAACATTTTTGACGTAAGGAAGGTTATCTCGTACATGTCTGATGTTATGCCAGATACCTTTTGTCTTCTATGTCAATAATATTGCACGTCAACGTCTCTACCGTCTCAATGTGTTGTTGCCATGGCCCTATCTCAACACATTGACACTTGAAGAAATCCTTATTGTTCTGGCCGTCTACTCATGTTGTTTTGCAGTTCTTGGAAGGTTAAAGGTGAGCTGTTTTATTATTCCCTACTAAATCTATATCCTGATTTCTCGCTTGGATCCATTTTGGGGCCAAAATGTAAATATGATGTCATTGTAAGTTTATTTATCATCTAATGTAAATGGCACAAGCATTGTTCAAGCAGCTACACTGTTGTTTTGGATCTGGTGAACATTTGCATTCATTTCTTCTACATAATGTACCACACCCGTACCCGCACCCCACACCACACACCCCGCACCACACACCACACATCCGCACCCCACACCACACACCCGCACCCGCACCACACCCCACACACCCAGCACCCGCACCAACACCCATGCATTCAACTGGCCCAGCGTACTCTCGCATATGCGCAGACACTCCTATCTGCTTGTACTCATCAGTAGCCTCAAATGATACTGATTGACTTATTCACACGATTTTCACGGATGTCAGATGCCAAATGCTATCAAAAGATTTTGTCCGGATCAATACGAAAAGAGGCAAGATGGAAAGACTTTGTTTAAAAGTTTAATGACACGTTCAAAGAGGTGTACGTGTTTGTCGATGTGTAATCCCACGACAGAACCGGGCCCAAAATCAATCCCATAGCTTCAGTTGTTTCAGCAGTGAATGTGTCAGGTGTCGTATCCATCGATCACGTGCCCGACCCCCCAACTTGTGAACGCTACTCCCCATTATGATATTTCCGCTGTACGCGGCTTTACATAATCGCTTGTTTGATGAGAAGCTGCTGCATCTGCATATACTGCACATGATGTTGCATCCACGTATGGTAGAGGAGTTGGTTACAAGCAGCCTTTCTCGGTTTGGCTTTCATTACAGTATACGCACTAGAGGAACATGCTAACTATCCACATTTGTGTCAAGTAACAAATATCTGAAGTACTGTCAGCCCTGATAATACGGAGTATATGTCGTTTCCATGACAACCCCTCGAAGTGTAACTTACATTCATTGTTTCTTAAAGTTGTTACATGTATATGTATATAGGGTAGACAAACATAATTATCTAAGTAAGGTGACACCTAATTTTGTACACCAATTCCATCTGCCACAATGTTACGTTTTAAAAGGCATAACTTTGACTAAACCGCGTGTGCTACCTGGATAAGACAGATTCCGAAGCACCAGAGCAGTTTCACTCATTACAGAAAGGATTTGAACAATCATATTTTCAACATAGCACAATGTCATGTTGACATATGTAGATTAAATGTTTTTCCACCAAAACATTACATTCAATGCTCGAGACTGCAACAATACTTGAGTTATTAAGTATCCCTAAGGAAACTGAACCAAGACGTTAATTCACTTAGAACAGTATCTCGGCTTAATGCATGAAGAAATCCCAAGGATGCAGGTTTTAGCATTGACCATGTTCGTCAAACCAATGGCGCTGACAAACCGAAACACAAAGTCGGGGCGGTCCAGAATTCGAACTCACAATCATAGGTTTCAGGCGAGTACAGGCCATACAAGTCCGCACAGCTAATTAAGCCGCATCAAACCAACCATGGCCAAGATATTAATAGCAGATCAAGACATTATTATGAAAAACGAACTCGTAATTGTGGTTCAAGAAGTGTATCGGTATTGTATGTATTGCCTAACCCTTTGTATGTAAACCTTGAATACAAAGAGTCAATACCTATTTGCTGGGGAGTAACTATGCATTATAACACGAATACAGTCAAACTTAACAGGATCTGTGGAAATGGTGTGGCATATTGGTAAAAACCATGTGTTCAGACTTTCATGAACTGCTATTTTGCAAACGTTTCCACAGAGAATGACCAGTATGCAGTATTGTGATGACGTATTGGCATTCCGGCATCATGGGACCATGAAGTGGTGCTGTTGCAAGCTACGTATTTGCGTAAACATATGCAAAATAAATCACCATACGCCCATGAAATTCGATTCACTTGTGTACAAATACGCATGAAAACACAATAGCATAACACTGTGCATAATCGTCCAGAGTAGCCTTATCATTGTAGTTGTCTTTCATATCTTTATTTCTGATTACTGATCGAATGACGGCATCGAGTGTTCAGAAACATGCCACGTTACATAACGCACACGAATGCTCCATCTCCCTTACTGAAAGCCTGACATGTTTATAGTTGTCGTGAGCTGGGCGACATGGGGCAAAGCCTGACCAACTGTAAATCAGAAGTCACCTGAGACAGTACTTTAAGCTTAACTGATTTATAAAAACATCTGCACAATGGCGTGAAATAAGATAGGACCCACGGGAGTAATTTAAATCTATTGAACACTCTCTCAAAACTGGCAACACACTGAAAAACAACACGTGACTGGGTCCAGTGTGAATGATAACATGAGAGTAAATGGTAACATACTGGTCGATATGAATGATGTGACCTTACAAAAATACCCAAGTACAGTCCTAACCCACTTCTGAACCCACCAAAGCACTTCACCTTCATTATTACACAATATCCAGCAGCTGGCAGCAGCTGGTAGCAGCTGTATCCAGCAGAACCTTTCGTTGAATGGACAAAAGGAGAGGGACCTCAATGCAGAAGACATTATACAAGCCTAAGCGTTGTTGTAATGACACCTCCCTATGTAAGCACCATTATCATCTGTGCCACGTTTAAACTCGTCCCACCTATTGTCAAAGATCGCCAAATGTAATAATAGAAAAATAACATACTCCTGAGACAGTAATAAATCAATTATTTGAGTGCCCTGGTCAAAATAATAAACAACATGTAGCGGAGCTTGAAAAGGCACTTTTTTCGAGGGATGTTTGATCAGGGTTGCCCACAATTTCAAGACAAACAGACACAAGATATAGATGAAATACTATTTAAGTGTTTATGTCTAGATGTGAAAGTCCAGAGCCTCTGTATTCTTGCGTATACAACGCTTTTTGTTGCTATGTTACTACCACGACCGTGGTGAAAGGGATATAAATGCGATAAGAAATCTTGTTAATGTAATAATGGCATCTTCGACAACTGGGATTAGATCTAACAAATGATGCCACTGAAACGACTGACGACATGAATGGCACCATCACCATCAGTTCAACTTATATCCATGGATAAAAACCACCTCATACTTATACAGTATGTTTAACAGTACTGTATTTGAGGTACTATGAACCACTGGAAGGGACCAACTAGGCGTGAGAGAGTGACTCAGCAATATTCCAGCTATATTGCGGCGGTCTGTAAATAATCGAGTCGGGACCAGACAATCCAGTGATCAACAGTATGATCATCGACCTGCGTAATTGGGTTTACATGTGTAATTGGGTTTATGTGTCAACCAAGTCAGCGAGCCTGACCACCCAATCCCGTTAGTCGCCTCTTACGACATGCATGGGTTTCTGAACTAAACTGACGTACAAAAGAAAGTACACACCCGGTGCTTTTGGATTACTTTCCAAAAAGCTACGTAAATGTTTTGAAAAGAGCTTTTGAAGCGATATTTAAGTCACAGAAGTTCCTAATATGTTGCCCAAACACCACAGATATCGTGCCCAAATGTGAAGTGGCCAGTCAAAAACACAACACTTTTCAAATAATCCCAAAACACCAGGTGTGTACTTTATTTTGTACGACAGTTTAGAAGCAGTATATACATGCCAATAGGATATCTTGTTTACCGCTCAACTCAGCAGTCAGGCGTAGGTCTGTAAATATTGCAGACTAGACCACACAATCCAGTTATTGATCATCAGCATCGATCTATTGGGATTTGGTCACATGCATCAAGCAAGTCAGCGAGCCTGACCACCCGATACCGTTAGTTGCCTCTTATGGCAAGCATGGGTTGCTCAAGACCATGTAGAGACCGGTTCTTGATGTGAGTGAAACAAAACAACCATTAAGGTAACATACCTGCATACAAATGACTGCTCCCTGGTGGCCCGAGAACATCTTCAGTTGGGTGCCCTTGAATAGATTCCAGCTGCGGACGGTGAAGTCCGTACTTCCGGTAAACAATACTCGGCCGGTTGGGTCGACACTCATGCACGTGACTGCCCCTCGGTGACCCTTGAAAATCTTCAAGCAACACCCGGTGTCGAAGTTCCATGACCTGGCGGAGAAATCAGCCGACCCAGTGATGAGGATGTCCCGACCTCCATCCAGATCTTCGTCATCAGCAATTTCGTCCTCATCGGCTGGGATGAAAATGAGTGGGTATACCCCTCTCTTGTGGCCCCGAAACACCCGTACGTTTTCCCCTGAGTCGAAATCCCAGCATCGGGCGGTGCGATCATATGAGCTGGTGAATATGAAATCTCCGGTACAGATCATACGGTAGATCAGAGAGGAATGACCACGCATCACAAGTACGCATTCGCACGTTCCGACATCCCACTTCCGGATGGATCTGTCTGCACTTCCGGTGAGGACAAAGCATTCCTCTATAAGGATGCAGTTGATGTAGTCTGTATGTCCTCGGAGGATACCAATACATTCACAGTATTCCGTCCTCGTGCTCCATAGTCTGGCAGTCTTGTCCTCGCTGCCTGTGGCCAGGACGGACCCGTCATCACTGAGCGCCATACAGTTGATACCCGCCTCATGCTCGAACAGGGACTGCTCCAAGTACTTCCCGGCTTCTTCCTCTTTGGAAGAACAACCACCCATATTTTCTTATACTATCACAGCACACTTCAACAATAGGTCCTTGGTAAAGTAGAGTATTCTTAAGTGTACCAACACGATATTCGATGTCTGGTGTTACGTTCGACTGTTACTGGGAACTGGGCGATAGTAGTTATCCTTTACGCAACGGTGGTTATCCTTTACTTAACAGCAATAGTGGTTATCCTTTATGTAGCAGCAACGGTGGTTATCCTTTACTTAACAGCAACGGTGGTTATCCTTTACTTTACAGCAACGGTGGTTATCCTTTATGTAACAGCAACGGTGGTTATCCTTTACGTAACAGCAACGGTGGTTATCCTTTATGTAACAGCAATGGTGGTTATCCCTTATGTAACAGCAATGGTGGTTATCCTTTACGGTTATCCATACAGGTAAAAGCGCTGAAGACAGGGGAAAAGCTCCATAACGATTGTTTAAGCGATGGGTCTGAAACAAAAGAAACATTCATTACAACTTGTACACGTAGCACAACATACTGTAATCTAATGCTGCACGATCCTAATTGGGAGCGACGTTGTCATTCTGCCTAAAAAGAGTCAGTGAGTGAACGTTGCTTAATACGTAAAATAATCATGAACACAACTTATTCCACACCATGACGTATAACCTCCGAACCACCAACTCCCGTCATCTTAACCTCCTATGATGGGGCATCTATGTAATGCCATGTCGAAGTGCATAAGGACCGAGACAAGTCGAAGTGCATAAGGACTGAGAGAAATAGTCCCAGTCAATTATAGCCGTTTTTTGTGAGTAGTTGTCAAGTGTCCCTGGTGTTTATGAGATCTCTGTCCGTGTCATTCTCCACCCTCGTGTGGAAAATGTCGTTCGTAACCCGTTCTGACGAATCTACACGTCACTGCCATACGTAACTATCAAGCGTTCGTGACAATTCGACAAACAACATGCAACCAACACAAAACGGCAGCATTTACGGCTTTGCCCGACACGAAGTGATAACAAGCAATGATGTCACTGTGAATCATGCTGTTGTATATATTGATCCTCATTGCTCGTTGGCGTACTCTGTAACAACCATATCGAATTTGTTAACGTTGTCCGTTCGGTTCCGTTCTGACATTTGCCATGGTGAGCGTATTACCGGGCTTTACATTTTAGTTATTGTGTGAACGCGTCCCAAACAGTTACCGTCGAAAAGAGGATGTTTGCCATGTCGTCGGTCAAGACAAGCTCGCACCACACATTTTGCGAGGAACAAACACTAAGGACACATTATAAAACTTGTCATGAACTTTGATAATTTCATACACACAAATTGAGCATCCTAGCACTCAGTGTTCCTGTCTTGTACAGAGAATAAATTTCATGAAATATCGGAGCACTCATCCTTGCGATTCAGACGCTGAAGTAATTTCTATCACACTAATAATACAAATATAGTCTCTGTTCACCTGAGATATTATTCCCACAGCTCAGAAGACCCTGCATGACAGCTACCTAGTGGCAAGGCTTGCGCCACCATCCTGTCCACCAGCTACGATGACCTGACAAACGTGTTCTTATGTATCAATCGATCTAGTTATCACTTCCTAGCACAGTCCTGGCAGAGCTTCTGGTATGCTAGTTCAAGAGCTGATGAAGAAAACTCACGGTTACCCTGAACCTTAAACCTCTTAGCATGGAGACAAACACAATAGGAACACCGTGTGTAAAGCTTTATCCGGTTGTCTGCAAACGGCCCTAGGATAGTCAGGGACCACAATCAATACCACCGTTTGAAGTCGATGCCGCCATTCAGGGTTTCCATGGAGACCATCAACAACCATATGAGGCAGATTTAAATCGCCCCGGACCAAAATGTCGATTTGAGAGCTGGAGAAACTATCTGATTGATTACAAATAGATGTCGATGCCGCTGATTGTATCTGATTTTCTGATTCTTCCGACCTCAATGGCTGACTGTTTCACCTATGATATAAAAAGCCTGACTTCACATACACCGAAGGTCGACCAGGGTGTTAACCAAACATTGGCCCAATGAAACGTAGACAGTAGTTGTTGTAACAGAATACTAATATATAGTTTCCAGTGTTAGTGTGAGCTCTCAGTAAATTCAGCATAAAATAAAAGTAGTTTGAATAGCGTAATAATTGCAGAACTATTAAAATTCTGATCTCGCGAGACTGATGTTTCAATGGTCACGTGGTAGTCAAAACTGTTTACGAAATACAAGGAGAGTCAATCCCGGACATGGAGTGTCGGTTGTATTGAAGTCGGCTATAATGAACCCCCTGTTGTTAATCGAACAATGTGAATCAACTCTTTACCATAAGAAAGAACGTGATTTATCTCACATCGATATCGACAACGCGCATCGACCAAAACAAAGAAGGAGTTGACTGGACACAAACAGCATTGCCTGATCCATAGACAAAGACGTCACTGCTGTTCCTTGAGATAAACATGTGTCACTGGAATGCGTTGTTTGTTTGTTTGTTTGTTGTGTAACGCCGCAATCAGCATATATGACGTCGGTCTGTTAATAATCGAGCCTCAACCAGACAATCCTGTGATTGGCATCATGAGCATTGATCTACGTAATCGGGATAACAGTGTATGGATCAACCAAGCAAGCGAGCCCGACCTCCCGATTCCGTTAATCGACTCTTACAACAAGCGTGTGAGTGAGTGAGTGAGTGAGTGAGTGAGTTGAGTTTTACGCTGCACTCCAATATTCCAGGTATATGGCGGCGTTCTGAAAATAATCGAGTGTAGACCAGACAATCCAGTGATCAACAGCATGAGCATCGATCTGACATGTGTCAAACAAGTCAGCGAGCCTGACCATCGGATACCGTTAGTCGCCTCTGACGACAAGCATGGGTTACTGAAGATCAATTCTAACCCGGATCTTCACGCGTCCTTACAACAAGCATGGGTTACTGAAGATCAATTCTAACCCGGATCTTCACGCGTCCTTACAACAAGCATGGGTTACTGAAAATCAATTCTAACCCGGATCTTCACGCGTCCTTACAACAAGCATGGGTTACTGAAGATCAATTCTAACCCGGATCTTCACGCGTCCTTACAACAAGCATGGGTTACTGAAGATCAGTTCTAACTCGGATCTTCACGCGTCCTTACAACAAGCTTGGGTTACTGAAGATCAGTTCTAACCCGGACCTTCACGCGTCCTTACAACAAGAAGGGGTTGCAGAACTACAATATATAGAATACATATGAGGTATCTGTATAATACTTAAGTTACAATTTCAATAGCATACTTTAATAAAAGTTGTGTACAGATACATTATTGCCACATAACCTACTAAAGTTATATCAGGGTATATATACAGCAACGTGACATTCGTCCTCAGAAAGAGTGAATGTGTTTTCTGATAGTTCCAGCCTAAGACAGATGTAAAGGAAATAGTCTGTAATAAAGAAAAGGTTCGTGTTTCAAAATGGACTGATTCGGTTTCTTGGTTCTGTAAATATTTAATGATTTGCTGTTAATGGTTTCCTTTTACGTTCCTCATTAAAATATTTTAAAAGCAAAGCAAAGTCTACTTCAGTGTTTTACACCTTCAGCACAGATACATTATATGGTTCGTCATTTGTCAAAAGTGAAGTACATGTTAAGCATATGACGTTGATTTGTAAAAAACATAACTGAAGTTTCTATGCTTAAGTGATTCCCGTTTGCATAATTTAGGCCTTTTTTTAATTACTTGGTTTACGGATTTTTAAAAAAGAATATAATAGATCGGTAGGGAGAAAATAGAAGAAGAACGCAATATGGAGATGTTATTTGCACACTTGAGTATGTCATATATGCCAGGTGCTGCATGGCCAGCTGAGCAGCCTGAGACATTACCTTTCTCTCTGCTCCACTCTGTTTCAGGGAATATGTGAAAGGTATAATTTGCTACTTTTTATTTTTTAATGGGTTTTTTTCACTTTCTTGGGTTTTTTATCAGGCCGGTGGCATATAATGGCAAAAATAATGGAAAAACAATTATTCTTTTTCCACCTCCTTCACATTTCGGGTCGGCGGATCCGTAAACAAAGTAATAAAGAAGGCCTTAAAGGCATGTAGATACATCAATATATATGTTGAAAATTTGTGCGAAACACTTGTGACAAAGTGAACAGGGTGGCGTTGTAAAAGCGATCTTAGCGCTAAGGTGACCGTAACTCCCATACCTTAACATAGACTTAAGGTAGTTTTAGCGCTAAGTTGACCGTAACTCCCATACCTTAACATAGACTTAAGGTAGTCTTAGCGCTAAGGTGACCGTAACTTCCATACCTTAACATAGACTTAAGGTGGTCTTAACGCTAAGGTGACCGTAACTTCCATACCTTAACATAGACTTAAGGTGGTCTTAGCGTTAAGGTGACCGTAACTCCCATACCTTAACATAGACTTAAGGTAGCCTTAGCGCTAAGGTGACCGTAACTCCCATACCTTAACATAGACTTAAGGTGGTCTTAGCGCTAAGGTGACCGTAACTTCCATACCTTAACATAGACTTAAGGTGGTCTTAGCGCTAAGGTGACCGTAACTTCCATACCTTAACATAGACTTAAGGTAGCCTTAGAGCTAAGGTGACCGTTACTCCCATACCATAACATAGACTTAAGGTAGTCTTAGCGCTAAGGTGACCGTAACTCCCATACCTTAACATAGACTTAAGGTGGTCTTAGCGCTAAGGTGACAGTAACTCCCATACCTTAACATAGACTTAAGGTAGTCTTAGTGCTAACACAACAAGTTTGTATTTTCTGTGCTTCGACTTTGCAACATGCAGTGAAGACAAAAGATGTTGCACACTCTGCAAGAATGACACAGTATCATGGAAACTATATATTTTCACGTAATAATTACTATTTCACGCAGACGTGTTTCTTTAATAACATCTCCAGTCTTAGCCCTCGAAAAAGAGAGAAAAAACATAAAGTTAAACACCAGTTGTTCCAACAACTGTTTCATCTTATTGCCAACATAGATCACGTGCTGACATGCATGACTAAATAACCAACTAATATGTTGTCTCTGTCTTTTAGCGTCTCTTAGTTGAAACTAATTACGTCACCTCGCATCCACCTCGAGTTGGTGTTTCAGAAATTCCGGAGGTACTTATGTAATCTAAAGCTAAAGTAACCATGTTAACGGAATGCAATGGGTCTCCTCGTAATTAACCCTTCGTCCCAGGCGCCATGGAGGTGGAGAATGGGTATCACTTATGTATGAGCTGTTCTCGTTAGAGAAAACCATTGCCTCACAAGTAGAGCTGGCGGTGTGGCGACTGACACTATCAGGAATCAATCTTTCAAACCTATGTGTAACAGAATGGCCGTGGGAACTTGGCAGAGAGAAGGCTAGCCAAAAAAGAAAATCTCACTTGGAGGTCACGAGGTCAGTGCATGACCTCCAAGTGAGATTTTTTTCTGACCTTCATCTTGGTTGTTTGTCGAAACCATGAGTTAGTCAGTTTACTTTAGCAATATTCCAGCAATATCACGGTGAGGGACACCAGAAATGGGATTCACACACTGTACCCATTTGGAGAATCGAACCCGGGTCTTCGGCGTGACGAGCGAACGCTTCAACCACTAGGCTACCCCACCGCCACCGAAACCACGATATAATCGGTACTGATGGTGATTTTGTCTGTTATCTCTGTACGGATGTAGAAAACAAATTACGTAGAACCCGTGATGGTAATGATAAGTTTGACAACATACTGCCCCGTTTATTATTAGGCGCAATTTAAATAAGTATAAGCATAACCAGCGCAGATATAGTCATTTTGTTTTGGTGATACAAGTTTGCCGATCAATAATATATCCTTTAAATCATTTTACCTTTTTAAAGAATTAAAGTATAATGCATTATCTTTGCTTGGTGGTGCATTATGGTCCATAACTTTCAAATATATTGTTTGTATGTGTGAGTTTCATGCCATACTGAATCAGTGGATGAAACTTTAAAGATGACACTTGATCCAAGCGCTGTCCCATTTGTACTTCCAATGCCACTTCAGAAGAGAAATTAATAGTCTCCATCGCTACATTTGTACATGGGTTCAGTGAATGTTTACGGTTCATACATTTTATGCATCTTTAATGGCGGTAGGTTTTAGTCGCGTCAATGATTTGACACTATCTACAAGCTTGGCATTATCTGTACACTGTTTAACACTCAACTTGCGAATACAAACTTGTAAATTAGAGCATTTTCCTTGATTGTTTCGGTATATGTAAAACAATCAACGTTTACTTTTGTTGTGTTTGGCAGCCGGGCAACGCAATCGACCAAACCATGTTCACAAGCCTTTGTAAACACACATGCATGGTCTCCATGAGATACCAATGTTTAATCGATTATAAATTTCACATTTCAATCGTTACACAAACTTTCTGAATGCCAAAATACACACAACTTGCAAACGTGGAACAACAGTCTACTTTCAGAATAGTAATGTATTAACTCAACTTGTGGGACTACCTTACTAAACAAACAAACAAACAAACAAACAAAGAACGGGTTGAACACATATAAACAAATAACATTCACCTGTTCAAATACTCTACAAGTGTATTCTATATAATTCTGGTAGTGTTGATGATCAATTATTGTAAACACTGCGTGGTCAAAAACTATCAA